GGTCCTAACTGTTTAAAGGTTTGACCAAATGGGGACTTGAGACGATCCTAACTGTTTAAAGGTTTGATCGTTCAATTTGTGGACCTCTCGTTCATGAAAGGAATCGAGAGGGGATTTTGACTTTGGTCCTAACTGTTTAAAGGTTTGACCAAATGAGAATTTTGTGAGGGAAGATTGATCTAACGAAGTGATCGAATCTCATCTCAGTAAAAGTGTATTCGGAAATCACCGTGGAGATGTAGTGTTTATCACTTTGTTTGTAATGATCGGGTTATCTCTAAGAAAATTACATATAGCATTCTTCCGAGAACTTCCTGTTACATGAACCATCCACCCCCAGCTTTCCTTACGAAACTGGGTTTATCATTATATTCAGCTGCATGATCGGGTTATCCTTAAGAGTACCATGCATGGTGCTCTCCAGGAATTTCCCGTGAAAGAAAAGAAATAGTTTTGACTCATATACCTGTTGGAGTATCGAGGAGCAGTTTATACTCGTATACTCTTTGGAGTGAGGGGAAACAGTTTATACTCGTGCACCCAATGGAGTCGGGGGAAACAGTTTATACTCGTGCACCCAATGGAGTCGGGGGAAACAGTTTATACTCGTGCACCCAATGGAGTTAAGTCGTCTTTACTTGGCTTGTTCCGCCGTTATGACACCGGAGTCAATTAAGGCTTGGATTTTTTCCTGATCTTTAATAGGTGGTAGCTCGATCTTGTCATTGGCAAGGAGGTATTTCAAGATGGCTGGAGCTTCATCATCTTTGAAAGAATACTCCTTTTGGAACTTCGGATCGAGAGTCGCATTCACAGCGATTGCAGATGTCGTTGGTTGGCTTCTCTCAGTTTTCTTTCTTTTAAGAAAGTGTTTAGCTTGTTCACCGCGCATTTTCAAATCTTTCCAAGTTTTGGATGGTACGACCCCCAGGGTTTCCAGGACATCGATGGAGAGATTATTGTGGCATGTTTGCAGGATGAACTCCTCTGTAACAGGATCTCTGCAATTCATTGCCTTGTTACGGAAGCGCTTGACAAAATTGTCGACTGACTCTCCTTCTTTTTGCTTCTCATCCAGAAGGGTTCCGATTGACACTTTGGTGTCATCATCGAAGAAATTGCTGAGGAATAAACTTTCTATGTCATCCCAATAATTGATGCTCCCTGGCTTAAGATGTCGGTACCAATCGAAGGCGGGCCCACGAAGGGTGCCAACGAATGACCGGACCATTAAAGCCTCGTTTTCGGAGATTATGCCTAAGTGAGACTTGAAATAAATCAAGTGCTGAGTAGGCGAGCTCTTCCCATCAAATGGTGTGAAGTTAATCAGATTGAACTTTACCGGGTACGGTATTGAATCCCATTCTCTTGGATAGGGACACGGAATACCCGTCTTCTTTACTTCCTGAGCGGACATCAAAGCATTGATTTTGTTTTCAAGGTCTTGCATTTTCTTGTCCTCATCTTCATCTCTCTTTGAGTGATGTTGAGCAGAAATAATTGGACCACCCACAGTGTTATTAAAAGGTGAAATTGAACCACCCCCAATAATGTTGTTGGGAGGATCCGTTAAACCACCCCCAGTGTTATTATCATCGGGAGGTTTATCAGCCATAATGATTTCATCCACTTCTGGATCGCTGTCATCTATAACATTCTGAGTGTGGCGGCTGGATTCAGCTCGCTGACTGGATTCAGGAAGTTGAGACCGTTGAGCTAGCAATTCTCTCATTTGTTGGATAGCTAACTCCATCTCTATCCTCATTTCAGCTCTAATTTCTTCACGTTGTTTGGCTAGAGCTTCTTGAAGCATTTTCAGGAGGTTGAGGCCGTTGAGCTTGCAATTCTTTCATTTGTTGAATAGCCAACTCTATTTCTGTCTTTATCTCAGCTCTAATTTCTTCACGTTGTTTGGCTAGAGCTTCTTGAAGCATTTGAGCAAACTGATCATGGGTGATTGTGAGCACTTCTCTGGTTTGCCCCGTGCTAGATATTGTATCATCCAAAGCAATCGCAGAACAAGTGTCCGAAAGTTCATCCTCTGAGGACATTCCTTCATGCATTTTCTTGTAATCCCTACGTCTGATGGCTCTTAGCTGGAGTCGAGAAATCCGTTGAGCAATTCTTGAATTGACTTTTCCTTCCGGGGAAAAGTCAGGATTTGATTCACTTGAATGCCGCTTAGATTTTTCTTTATCAGCCATGTTGATGGTGACTTCAGAGAATTCGTCATCTTGGATATCTGATCTTTTATTGCGGAAATATCTCGGCTTAGGCTTCGACATTTCGGTGAAAAGCCTCTGGGACACTGAGACTCTTTGCGGGATGGCTTCTCGTTTGGAGTAGTCACATTTCGACAGTACTGCTCTAATGAGTCGCATACAGAAACGATGAGAGCTCATTTCTCGGACAATCCTCTTTCGAGTTTTGTTCACACCCCCAGCTTGATAGTACATGATAAACACGTAAAATATGCATTATCTTAGTGTGTTTCAAGCATGATTTACGAGTGTTTGATGCATATTTCGTGTTTAGATCGAGGATACTACTGTTGTTTGTGTTCTTATATGTAGGTATTGGCTCAAGATTGAAAGATTTGATGATCGTTGGAAGTTTTACAAGATTTTGAAGCAACAACAAGATTTTGAAGGCATGGTTCGTGAAGAAAATGGATGCACGAGTATGAAGAACTGGAATTTCGACCATGATGCAATTTGAATCAAGAAAAACTCAAAAGATAAAGGTTGTAGATCTCTTCAACAGGATTCCAATACAACTTGAATCACCTCATTCCAAGGTCGGATGCAAAAGTTATAGCCATAATACCGAAGACTGTACAGACAAGCACGAAATCAGCAAAACAGCCCCTACCACACCCTGGTGTGGTGCCAACCACACCGGTGGCGCGGGAATTAGTTATTTTCCAGATTTTTGGGGACATATAAATAGATGTTTTGACTTAGGGTTTTGGATATCTTTTGTTATGTTCTTTTAGCCATCAACTAGCAACTATTCTAGGGTTCAAGTATTGAAGGAAGACATTAATCTCTGTAGAAGATTGGATTGCAAGTTCTTATTTTGAAGATTTCAATTGAAAGACGGGTTAATTCTTTCCTCTCTTTGATTTATTTCTTCTTATGATTGATTTGCATAATTATTTGATGTCTTCTCTTATTCCAATCATGTGTGAGTAGATTTCTTGTCTAGGATTGGGAAAGAACCCAACTTTTTGGTGATTGATGATGAATTGATATAGGTTCTTGGTAAAAGTTTAAATCTTTGAACTTGATTTCTAGTGTTTTAATTTTGTTTATTCGCTTGATCACCGTATTAGCAATCATAGGTAATTAATTGAAGGACTGAAAGGTGAAGATTAATACCGGATCTCTAGAAATTAAGCAGGGAGCTCGAACCACGAAAGTAGGCTAGATTCCTTGGGGATTTGATTTGGATTAGCATAAAGCTTAATGTGTTTAACTTAATCTTAATTCCACGAAAGTAGGTTAATTGAGATTAGTTAGGCACGATCTTTAGACCTTGAAAGAGGCTTTAGATTAATTTAGGCTAATTCACCCTCTTTAGTTTAAACCAACACCGAGAACTAAAATAATTCATCATTGAGCATCGAAGTTGTGGTGAAAACCCAATCCTGGCTCTTCATTATATTGAATTAAAACTCAAAAGATGAAAGTTGTAGATCTCTTCAACAGGATTCCAATGCAACTTGAATCACCTCATTCCGAGGTCGGACGCAAAAGTTATAGCCAAAATACCGAAAACTGAAGAAACAAGCACAAAATCAGCAAAACAGCCCCTACCACACCCTGGTGTGGTGCAGACCACACCGGTGGCGCGGGAATTAGTTATTTTCTAGATTTTTGGGGACATATAAATAGATGTTTTGACTTAGGGTTTTGGATATCTTTTGTTATGTTCTTTTAGCCATCAACTAGCAACTATTCTAGGGTTCAAGTATTGAAGGAAGACATTAATCTCTTGTAGAAGATTGGATTGCAAGTTCTTATTTTGAAGATTTCAATTGAAAGACGGGTTAATTCTTTCCTCTCTTTGATTTATTTCTTCTTATGATTGATTTGCATAATTATTTGATGTCTTCTCTTATTCCAATCATGTGTGAGTAGATTTCTTGTCTAGGATTGGGAAAGAACCCAACTTTTTGGTGATTGATGATGAATTGATATAGGTTCTTGGTGAAAGTTTAAATCTTTGAACTTGATTTCTAGTGTTTTAATTTTGTTGATTCGCTTGATCACCGTATTAGCAATCATAGGTAATTAATTGAAGGACTGAAAGGTGAAGATTAATACCGGATCTCTAGAAATTAAGCAGGGAGCTCGAACCACGAAAGTAGGCTAGATTCCTTGGGGATTTGATTTGGATTAGTATAAATCTTAATGGGTTTAATTTAATCTTGATTCCACGAAAGTAGGTTAATTGAGATTGATTAGGCACGATCTTTAGACCTTGAAAGAGGCTTTAGATTAATTTAGGCTAATTCACCCTTTCTAGATTAAACCAACACCAAGAATTGAAATAATTCATCATTGAACACCTAAGTTGTGGTGATAACCCAATCCTAGTCCTTCATTATATTGAATTCCATCCGATTAGTTGTTTATTTTATTTCTTTTATTAAATCTCTTCTAATTTACTCATTGATTTAGCTAGTCGAATAACGTGAGATTTGGTAATTAACCCTAGTCCTTGTGGGATCGACCTTGATAGCTACAACGAGTCTGTGCGCTTGCGGATTTTGCCCTATGAAGTTTTTGGCGCCGTTGCCGGGGACTACGGTGTTAATATTGAGTGCTTACGTTATTAAGCTAGACTAGATTTTTTTTATTTCTCTTTGCTTCTCACTTTCTTTTATGCAAGGGAATCAAACAGAAGTAAACGACGAAAACAATCCTGAACTATCGGTGACTCTTGCAAACATAAGAAGGTCTATAAGGGAGCAAAGGAACACAGAACAAGCTACGATGGGAGATCAAAATCAGCTTCTTAAGGATTTCGCAGCCCCAAATGCTCAAGGCACACAGTCAAGCATTACAAGGCCCAATGTTGAAGCTAATAACTTTGAGCTGAAACCATCACTGCTCTCAATGGTTCAGCAGAATCAGTTTGGAGGAGGTGCTACTGAAGACCCGAACCTCCACCTATCGATTTTCTTGGAGTATTGCGACACTTTGAAACTTAATGGAGTGACCAATGATGCTATTCGACTCAGATTATTTCCGTTCTCTCTAAGGGACAAGGCTAGGGCTTGGTTGCACTCATTGCCAGCTGGGTCCATCACCACTTGGGATCAATTGTCTAGAGCGTTTCTTGCAAAGTATTTTCCTCCAAGTAAAACAGCACAGATGAGGAACCAGATCACAAGCTTTGTACAGAAGGAAGGAGAGTCACTTTATGAAGCTTGGGAACGCTACAAGGAATTATTGAGGATGTGCCCTCACCATGGACTGGAGAAGTGGTTAATTGTTCACACCTTCTACAATGGGCTCACTTACAACACACGGATGACTGTTGATGCTGCTGCAGGAGGAGCTTTGATGAACAAAACAATAGACGAGGCATACACTCTCATTGAAGACATGGCTCAGAATCACTATCAATGGGCAAACGAGCGTGCTCCTCAAACATCAAAAGGTGGCAAGTATGAAATAGATGCTTTAGATCATATATCTTCTAAAGTTGATGCTTTATTTAAAAAAGTTGAAAGTTTGAGTATTAATTTTGTGGCGTCTACTTCAATTTCATGTGAGATATGTGGTTATGTGGGTCATTCTGCACTTCAATGTCAATTAGGAAACCCCCCATCCATTGATACTTCTAGTAATAGCAAGTTAACTATGTTAATAACTTTAATCAGAAGGGAGACCCATTCTCCAACACTTATAATCCGGGGTGGAGGAATCATCCTAATTTGTCTTATAGAAACCCACCTGGAAATTCCATGCCCGCATCTAATTTTGGTCATCCTGGTTTTCGTGCTCCTCAATCCAATCTCCCTCCCCAAAGGTCTAATTTGGAAAATATGATGGAAAAATTTGTGACGACTCAGTCGAGATTGAATGAAGAGTTTAAGCAACAACTACAAACCACGAATGAGGTAGTAAAACAATTGGCCTTTAAGATGGATTCTCTAGCTACACATAACAAGATGTTAGAGACACAAATCACACAATTGGCACAAAATGTTAGCTCTTCCTCTAGGCCTTCAGGCATGCTACCTGGACAACCTGAGACGAATCCCAGAGGTCATGTGAATGCTATAACCCTTAGGAGTGGAAAACAATATGAGGGACCTAAGATGAAGGAAAATGATGGGGGAGATAGTCATCATGAAGAGAAAAGTAAAATTATGATAGATGTGGATAATGAGACCCAGATGCATGAAGAAGAAAAAGTTAAAAAATATGTGGCCCCCGCTCCTTACAAGCCTCCTCTACCCTTTCCCAAAAGGTTAGCTAAGGCTAAGTTAGAAAAGCAGTTCGGAAAATTTTTGGAGATTTTGAAAAAGTTGCACATCAATATCCCGTTCACTGAAGCTATTTCTCAAATGCCTTCTTATGCTAAGTTCTTGAAAGAGATCCTATCTAATAAAAGGAAGTTGGAAGAATACGAGACTGTGGCCCTTACTGAGGAGTGTAGTGCTATCATCCAAAACAAGTTGCCTCCTAAACTTAAGGATCCAGGTTCATTTTCTATTCCTTGTGTTATTGGTAATGACTCTATTAACCGTGCTTTGTATGATTTAGGTGCAAGCGTAAGTTTGATGCCAATGTCCATCTGTAAGAAGCTTGGCATAGGAGATTTGAAGCCAACCACGATATCACTCCAACTAGCGGATCGATTGGTAAAACATCCGGTAGGTATACTTGAAGATGTACCTATCCAGGTCGGTAAGTTCTTTATCCCGGTTGATTTCATTATTTTAGAAATGGAAGAAGATTCTAACATCCCAATTATATTAGGAAGACCCTTCCTTGCTACTGCAGGTGCTATAATCGATGTTAAAAATGGAAGTCTCTCCCTAAATATTGGAGGAGAGAAGGTAGAATTTGATTTGAACAATGCTATGAAACCCCCTCTAACTGATAAAGTTTGTTACAGGGTTGACGTGATTGACAAGTCTACACATGAGCAACTTGCAAACCATTACTCAACTGATTCACTTGAGAAGTGTTTGGTAAGTGACGATTCAATAGATGATGAAGACCCGGAGGTAGCCGTGTATGCTCAATCTTTAGAATCAACATCAACTGCTCCATTTCGAAATGCAAAGTTTGAAAGTCTAAAGTTAAAGTCAAAAGGTTCTACTTGTGAAGAGGATAAAGCACCCATAGGCATGACACCGTTCAAGTTGGTGTATGAAAAATCGTGTCATCTCCCAGTTGAGTTAGAGCACAAGGCGTATTAGGCTATCAAGTTGCTCAATTTCGATATGAAGACCGCAGGTGAGAAAAGAAAGCTTCAACTTCATGAGCTAGATGAGTTACGATTAGAATCCTATGAGAATGCTCGCATTTATAAAGAGAGGACTAAACGATGGCACGACAAGAATATTCTTCGAAGAGAGTTTAATCAAGGAGATATGGTGCTACTTTTCAACTCTCGTTTGAAGCTTTTTCCGGGCAAGCTCAAATCTCGGTGGTCCGGACCTTTTCAAGCTCGTGAGGTTTTTCCTAGTGGAGTTGTTAAAGTTTGGAGTGAAACAACGGGATCTTTCAAGGTGAATGGACAACGATTGAAGCACTACATTGTTGGGGAACAAAACGAGAAAGGGGTCACGTATACCCTTTCCGATCCCCCTTCGTCGGAAAATTGAGCGCAAAAGGGGGTCGAGCTCATGACCATAAACGAGCGCTTCTTGGGAGGCAACCCAAGTTTTCACACATTCTAGTTCTTTTATTTTAGCATTTTATTTTGTTATCAAATTTTTTTAATTTTTTTAGGCAATTGGATCGGCACAAATTTAACTTATAATATTTTTGATCATGCAGTTGTGAAGAAATGAAGACATCTAAAAAAAACTGCAGAAAAAGGAGTTAAAGATGGAGTGGCAGAGCCTACCACACCCAGGGGTGGTGTAGACCACACCCACGGTCCACAGGAAAACAAATTCCAGAGTCCACCACACTTGTAGGCCACACCCGTGGCTTGAAAAAAAAATGAAATGAAAATATTCCCCCTTCTCTTTCGTTCCAAACCCCACACCCCTTCATCTTCTCTGCCCTAGCCCACACCAACATCCCATCTCCCTAACCCAAACAGCCGCCCCTTTCATCCACCGCCGGCCTCTCTCCCCGTCATCACCACCGCGCATCATCACTGCCGATTGGCACAGGAAATGTTGAGGAAATAAAGGCTCATCCTTGGTTTGCACCATCAAACGCCGCCGCCCCTCTTCGATTCCCAACCCGACCGCCATCCTTCGCGATCAACACCGCGCATCACCTCCTCAGCACAGCACCATCGTCGCCATCTTCTTCACGATCGGAACAGCTACTTCCCCTCTTCAATCAACACCCGACCCTCACAGCGCAGCAACGTCGCCCCCTTGTTCGCGGGGAAAATCGTTTTCTTCATTGATGTCATTGTGTTCTCAAAATAACAACTTTTTGTGTTACAAAGATCCGGTTACAACGAAATCAAAAAAAAGAAAATAAAGAAAAATTACAACTTTCTCCTTGTGAACAAATCGCGAGCTCCTGTTTTGCGGTCACTCGCTTTTGTGGGTTCTTTAATCGCGAGCTCCTGTTTTGCGGTCGCTCTCTTTCGTGGGTTCTTTGCCAACGCCGGGGTTAATCCGTGGACCACCGCGCGATCTAGATCCGGTCGGATCTACACGATTTGACGGATATTATTCCACGAAGGGAATAATAGCCGGGAGGGATTAGTTCACTAAGGAAATAATCGCTCGGATCTCGGGATCTAAGACCAAGCTTAGATCCGGAGTGTGATCTCGTGTAGATCTCAGATCTGTTCTTCCCCTCTCTCGAAATCCTGCCTTTTATGACGTGGATGCTCGCCGAGGATCAGATCTGAAGTCTTCAAAGCTCTAAGCTCAGTCTTCAATCCGGCAGAGTTTCGGCTCTCAAAAGTCTAACATTTTAAAATGAACAACCCCCTCTCCTATTTATAGCCAAGCGTCACTGTGCCCGTGTGCACGTGTGGCCAACACATAGATGGCCGACCACCTCAAGGTGGCTCGGCTCATGCCGAGCCACCCTAAGGTGGCTCGGTTTCGGCCGAGCCCCTCCGGGGGTTGTTCGTTCCGTCATTTTTCCGTTGTCCGGTTCTGCGCTTCGTTGTTGATCTGGACTTGATTCGGTTGTGTTTCTGTTGTGTGGTTGATTGACCTAAAGTATTTCAGTCTCGTTCTTTTATAGAAGAGTCTGGAATACTTTGGATATGATTGCCTCCCACCTTCAGTCGGTGTAATGAGACCTTGGAATGATTTCCGTTCTTGATTCCTTCGATTCTCCAGGCTTTTCGGTGCTTTGTCGAAAGTCTGTAAGAGTTCCGGTGCTGCATTTATTGTCTGACCGTTTGTCGGAATTTTGAACTTTGAAGTCGATTCCTGATTTCTAATTTTTAGCTGACCATCGATTGTGGCGTCGAGTCTTTATGTACAACGCGTTGTCCGGCGTAGTGTGGTTGAGTTATCCTTAAGAATATTTATAAACAATATTCTCCAGGAACTTCTCAAACCAAAAATAGGGAATAGTTTATACTCATATACCTTATTGGAGTATTAAGAAGCAGTTTATACTCGTATACTTTTCGGAGTATTAAGAAGCAGTTTATACTCGTATACTTTTCGGAGTATTAAGAAGCAGTTTATACTCGTATACTTTTCGGAGTATTAAGAAGCAGTTTATACTCGTATACTTTTCGGAGTATTAAGAAGCAGTTTATACTCGTATACTTTTCGGAGTATTAAGAAGCAGTTTATACTCGTATACTTTTCGGAGTATTAAGAAGCAGTTTATACTCGTATACTTTTCGGAGTATTAAGAAGCAGTTTATACTCGTATACTTTTCGGAGTATTAAGAAGCAGTTTATACTCGTATACTTTTCGGAGTATTAGTTCTTTCATTGCAACGCATTGATAGGCGTTGACCTAGGATCACGCGTTGTCCGGCGTTGACCTTAGGGTTTTGAACGTCGTACGTTGAATTTTTGCTCGCAACGCGTTGACTGGCGTTGACCTAGGGTTACGCGTTGACCGGCGTTGACCCTAGGGTTTCGAACGTCGTACGTTGAACTTTTTGCTCGCAACGCGTTGACTGGCGTTGACCTAGGGTTACGCGTTGTCCGGCGTTGACCTTAGGGTTTCGAACGTCGTTGGATGCTCAAGTCACAAGACCAACTAATGGAGCTGATGCGTCAGTGACTTTCGTATTTATAGGATTTTTGGCAAATCCTCAGCCATCAACGGGTTTGATGCGCCTTTACCGACTACCGTTTGAGTCGGGCTAGCATGCGGATTGTTCAAGTCCGTTCCGCATGTGACGTTAAGCTAAAAGAGTTAACCCTTTTAGTGCTACGATATTGAATACGTAGACTTCGTCTTTCTCACGGGAATAGACTACCCGGCGACGCGTGTTAGGCGTCGACTTTGGGGTTTTTGGCTAACCCCCAGCCTTCAACGGGTTTGATTAGCCTTTACCGACTACCGTTTGAGTCGGGCTAGCATGCGGATTGTCTAAATCCGTTCCGCATGTAACGTTGTGCTAAGAGAGTGAATTCTCTGAGACTTTGTGCTATGATGTTGAATACATAGGCTTCGCCATTGTTACGGGAATAGGCTACCCGGCAACGTGTATTAGACGTTGACTTATCCCTACTTAGGCTTCGGGATGAGATACCCCAGAATCGAACTCTGGTGTCTTTTTCTACGGGGAAAGACTAAACCGGCGACGCGTGTTAGGCGTCGGCATATCCTTTCTTAGGATTCAGGATGAAATTCCCCATGCGTGTAAGGCATGGATTTTGGTGTTATTAATAACAACCTGTCACAATGTTGAATATGTGAACGGGTGTTCTTTTTAGTGGTTAAGAACTAACCGGCAGCGCGGGTTAAGCGTAGACTTATCCCTGCTTAGGTTTCAGGACAGAATACCCCAGAATCGAACTATGGTGTCTTTTTTTTACGGAAAAAGACTAAACCGGCAGCGCGTGTTAGGCGCAGACTTATCCCTGCTTAGGATTCGGGATAAACTTCCTAGACTGGAATCTTGGTGTCTTCTTCAATCGGTGAAAGACTAAACCGGCAACGCGTGTTAGACGTTGACTTATCCCTTCTTAGGATTCGGGATAAAATTCCCTGTACCTGTGAGGCACAGATTTTGGGATTTGAAAAAGGTGGTGTCTTCTCTTGGGGCAAAGACGAACCCGAAATGGGAGAGGAAGAATTTTATATTCTATCTCCCGACACTGAAGAAGAAGAATTTTATATTCTATCTTCAGCTGGAAAGGAGACTCGAGGTGGGATCTCCACCCCCAGAATCCGGAATGATGAAACTAGGAGTGGGACCTCCACTCCGAGAATCGAAAACTTCGGATGATCCTAACTATCAGAAGGTTTGATTACCGAACTAAAGGTGAATTTCTCGTTTATCGAGAGTGAATTATGGTTTTGACCCTAACTGTAGGAAGGTTTGGCCAAATGGGAGTTTGAGGTGACCAGGTTTGACCAAGCAGGAGTTTGAGATGACCCTAACTGTAGGAAGGTTTGATCACTCGATTTGAAAGTGGACCTCTCGTTCATTGGAGGAATCGAGAGGGGATTTTGACTGTGGTCCTAACTGTAAGAAGGTTTGACCAATCGGGAGGTTTGAGACGATCCTAACTGTAGGAAGGTTTGATCGCTCGATTTGTGGACCTCTCGTTCATTGGGGGAATCGAGAGGGGGAGAGTGTTGAGTGCACAGACGCGGTGAGAATTTGAAAGGGAGTTTCTTATTCATCATCTTGCTGTGGTGACCGGATTATCCCTAAGAATACACTATATGGATTTCTTTTGGGAACTTCCCGTTACATGAATCATCCACCCCCAGCTTCCTTTGCGGAACTGGTTCGGACATTATTCTCAGTTACCTGACCGGGTTATCCTTAAGAAAGGAAACAATTTAGACTCATATACCTGTTGGAGTATGTAAGGAAGCAGTTTAACCTCATGCACTTGTTGGAGGATTGAGAAATAGTTTATACTCGTATACTCTTTGGAGTCTTGCCGTTCTTATTTGGCTTATTTGAGCGATATGACGCCGGCTTCAACCAAGGTTTGGATGCTATTCTTGAGAGCAAAGCAATCGTTGGTGGGATGAAGAACCCTCCTGTGGTATACACAGTACTTTGGATCCGTCGTGTTGTCAGCTTCCTCCTGATTTGTGATAGGTGGTAGCTTGATCT